ACAGAGTTACTTTTAAAAATGTAGCCATGCAGACAAGCCTCTCATTTGAAATGAAACAATCACCTCTGGAAAATTCCCAGGACAAAGCATTAAAAATTAACTTGGTTTGATATTAAACATAAATTTATCCAAACAAACAAAGAAAAAAATCCTTGAAAGATATCTGGGGAGATGCCTCAGTGAGAGATACCACTGCTGTTCAAGCAAGCACAAGGAGGTCCTGAGCTTGAATCCCAAAACCCAAATAAAAAACCAGGCTTAGCCGAGCACCTATGAACTTGTCACTGGTGTTTAGGGGCAGAGAAAGGCAGATGGTAGTGACTTACTGGTCAGGCTCTCTGAGTAATCTCCATGTTTGTGAGGGACCCTGACTCAGATAAGTAACAGGGAATAAAGAAAGATAACTGAAGCTGACCATTGTCCTTCATATGCACACATGCTAGCATGTGCACATATGCAAACATGCACATATACACAATACATGAACACACACACATCTGTGAAGGCTCCACAATTAGTCATCTGCCCTGTACTATTCTCCAAACTACGTAGACATCATCCTGAACATAACATGTTTTAACGAAAAATACTTGACTCTTTAAAGTTGAGCCATGTCCTAGGCCAATAGAGAGCTCTGAGTCCTGAGCTCCCCAGCATCAAAGCCCGTCTGGACCAAGGGCTTTTCCACTAATCCAGTGGCTTCCACAGTTTGCAGGGAAATCATTTCCCTTAAACTTCAAGTTGAACAGCTTTCTCCCAGCATGAGCTGCACTCACCCACTGGCCCTGCCTCTGTGTCCCACCCAGCATGATTCACAGTGGATATTCTTACTCTAGTCAGCTCTGTTCCCACACACAGAAGTCACTTCTAAAGATGCACAAGGCAGTCCACTGAATGTGCTCTGAGCAGGAGACCTCTGCTCTGTCTGGCCAATGCCAGCAGGAGCTTCTGGATTTCCTTATATTGCATTGGTTTTAAAGATAACAGCAAGAAACCAACTTCAAAAGCCTTCCCGCCAAAATTTGACTTAAATTTACATGTAAATCTAAAGTTACTTTTATGTGTGTCCTTTATTGAGCTTCCTTAGGAGGTTCCCTGATAACTGGCTCCTTTATAAACTGATCCTGATGCTGTAAAGTAGTCGTGACATCTCCCCAGAGGGCCATGTTTCAACTGGGAATCCCTGGCCAGATGCCCCGGAATGAAGAGCAGAGTGACTAAGTGACTTCAGGACATCTGGTGAGTGGTGAGAAATGAAAAAGGTGTTCATTCTCAGTGTGCTTAATAAATCCCAAATGGTGGCTGAAAAGCTTCTCTATAGTCAACAAAGGAGCTACAAAGCCCGAGGAAGCTCACTTTTGACAGCAGTTACTCCTATGGAGAAAGCACGTTCCCCGGGGGTTGACAGGAGACTGGTGTCATTAGTGCCGGCACTATGGAAAGAATCACAGTGGGGAGAAATGACAGGAACACAGTGGGAAGGTGTGACATTGCCACAGGACTCAAGTAGTACCTGCAGGCCCAAGAACGACAGCGAGCATAGATATTGCAGAGCTAACTGGACATGGGGGAAAGAGAATAAGCCGCATTATAAAACATATGATAATCAGAGACTATGCTAAGGCTTCATTTTAAGTGTTGAACAAATGGTTCAGAATGCCCTGGAATGGGAAAACAACATCCCAACTCTAGTGTGAGTCTGCGTAACCAAGGAAACCAGTTATCAAAGCACCAGGGTAAGAATATAATGTTTGGCAATCAATAAACAGAAGAAGTTTGATCTGCAGAAGAAAAGGCAAATAAATTGGAGCATCCAGGAGAATGGGGATTCTCAGGAAGTGGAGATTAGAAAAAATGAGTTAGAGAACTTAGTGATTAGGTGCAGGAAGGCTAAAACTGAAATCTTAAGACTCAAAGAACTTGGAAGGAATTGCAATTTTAATGTTAAAATATTTTAAACAATTAGCTGTGCAGAAAAAAAAACAAATATAGAGGTAATTGTATCCCTGGGAAAAAACAGTCAATATTTGGGTGTTTTTATTAATAATTTAAATGAAGCTAAAATGTAATATTTTATATTTCTAATTGGTGTGGTAAAGAACCAACTTGGAAAGCAACCAGACAGATTGCATAAGTGGTCATTTAGAAAAATAAAGGAGTCTAATTGAATTAGAATTTTGGACCAAGAATAATAGCAAATGTTGTCCCTAATCCAATGGTTCTTATGTTTGAAATTGGGATGAATAAGCCAGCAGAAGTAAAACAGCGGCAGAAATTGCCCATAAGAATAACTCTACTTTATTTGACGCAGGCGGGGATTTAATTAGAATACATTTGCCATAGTCTCAGAAAGCAGGCTGAGAAAGCCATAGAGACAAGCCAGTAAGCAGCACCCATGCATGGCCTCTCCATCGGTGCCTGCCTCCAGGTTTCTGCCCCATTTGAGTTTCTGCCTTGAGTTCCCTTGGTGATTTCCAGAAATTGTAAGCTGAAATTAACCCCCCAAACAAAAAAAAAAAAAAAACAAAAGAGAGAGAGAGAGAGAGAGAGAGAGAGAGAGAGAGAGAGAGAGAGAGAGAGAGAGAGAGAGGGGGGAGAGGGAGAGAAAAAAAGAGAGAGAGGAAGAGAGGAAAGAAAGAAAGAAAAAGAGAGAGAGAAAGAAAAGAAAGAAAGAAAGAAAGAAAGAAAGAAAGAAAGAGAAAGGAAGGAAGGAAGGAAGGAAGGAAGGAAGGAAGGAAGGAAGGAAGGAAGGAAGGAAGGAAGAAAGAAAGAAAGAAAGAAAGAAAGAAAGAAAGAAAGAAAGAAAGAAGACTGAAAATGAAAAAAATAAGCCGTGATGAAGAATACAAGACACTGGAATCCTCCAAGGAGAAAAAGTTACCAGAAATAGAAATATTCACCTTGAAAACAGAAATGGCTATAGAGAAAATTACTTCCTCCTAAGCTGTTCATAACTGCAGCAAAGTAGTCTCCTGCCACCATAAAGAACCTCAGTCTGGGAAGAATGCAGATAACTAACAGCAAGATAATTTGATTTGCTGTATGTAAGCAATCTTGAAAATAAGAAAATACTAGAATATCTACCAAAAGAAATTAAAAGGTGTGTTATTTTGTTCATCCCTAGACAGATTTCAAGAAAATGTGGCTCCTCTATCATGGAGCTTACTTGTTAGTAACTGTTTTACCAAACATGCTTAGAGATTGTTGATTTGTCGTGTTTGATCATGATGCAATCGCTTTGTGAAGGTTGTATGTTTGTATACATTTAGCTTTTGTATCCCAGACCCATGTATCCCTCATGCTTTACCTAATGGCAAATAAGTAAGGCTGAAAACAACAACAACAACAACAACAACAACAACTTTTTCAGGGGCACTGTCAGGTAAGATGTCTATGGACACTTTCAATCACACAACCAAATCTCTGTAGGCTGCCCGCTGCTACAGATGCTCCTCAGCTTACAATGGAGTCTTAATAAAGACATCATTGACCTGAAAATACTGTGCCATCAAAAACTGCTTGTCAGTCACCTACGCGTTGAGCCTCAAAGATGAGACACACTGTAGAGTCTCAGCTTCTTACCGTCATGAAGAGTGACAACGGTGTGATTTCCCAACACTTCACGAGAATGCCATGCTGTGTGCACTGCTCGGCCAGGAAAAGGGCACATCTCAAAGTTAGAAGAATTCTTTAGACTGAAACATTGCGAAGGCACACACGCCTAAGACTAACCATGGTAACTAGGGACTCTGTATATGTCATTGGGTTTATTTTCAGCTTTTCCCAAACCCCATGTTCTGGATCCTGTACCTTCATATCTCCTTCAGTCTTTCTCTTACAATCCTTCCATTTGTTCTGCCTGACCTCGCAGTGGTTTCTGACTCTTCATAAGTTTTGCAAACGCCCCCATTTTATGTACTGCTCAGTGAAAACTATAATGTTCTAACTTTACACAGATGCTTTCAATACACTATTCATATTTCCTCATCATATCAATTTCTTTCTAACTAGCAGCTGATTCCTGATGCTTTTACAGTGAACTGTATGCATACCTACAATCCTTATCATACCTTACCGCAGGCATCCACCGCCTGCCTAAGGTTCCTTTATTGGATGCCAAGTGCTTTATTGGCTTTGAGCAGGAGGCCCAGGTAAATAGCCCTTAGTGTAGCATTTAATCGAGCATGAATGGTTGGGTAAATCTCAAGATTTTGTTCCCCTCAGGTGAAATAATTCTGTGCTGTGTTCTACAGAAAATCAAGAGTTTGGTAGCAGGATCTACACCCATAGTGCTTCATAATAAGCCTGCAATGGTCTCCCTAACACCCAGGCATCACTTTCTCAGGCCCCTTGTTCCTACAGTGCAGACTACAGAAATCCATACCTCACTTCCTACCTCTTCCTTATCTAATGACATCACTCCTATCCTAATATGAGCATTTTCTTTAAGAACTTACTTTGTTTCTTTAGGAACGTTTAAAAAAAAACACACTTTAACATTTGAGTTAAAACAAACAATTTTGGTCTCTGTATATATAGTGTATCTGCAACCAGTGATGCAGTCACACTCTTGAGAAAGTGATTTTTTTTTCTCAAATAAAGCCTGCCCAGATTGGAAAGTTTAAAGGGCTTGTTGTTCCTAGCAGTTCCAGACATCAGGCTTCTGGCAGAATTCTGTGTGAATTGACAGCCTAGGATGGGAAGGTTTGGCCACAGAAACACCTTGTTTTAGCAGTGAGAGTGATCCTTGCTGCCTGTTAGGGAAATCAAGCCTGTTATTTCTGAGTTTTGCTGTTGTTTTGGTTTGGTTTGGTTATAACCAAAGACGTAAGTCAAATGACACAAGATCTGGCTTTCGAGAAACACTAGAATTCAAAATATGGATGGATTAAAGACCTGATGGGTATAAGACCAAAGAAATCAAGCATTTGTTCGTATGCTTCCAAACATTCCAGATGGTGAGAAATTCTGGAAAAAAACTCCAGCATAGGTGAGCTTACCCGAATCATCATGACCGAACATCTGATATCGTGAATTGTGTCGTAGATCTTCTTTGAGATGTCCACAAACTGATTATCATCAAGAACAGTCAGTGAGTTCTTGCTTAGGGCATCCAAGGCAGCATTCACTTGTGTCACGAACTCTGGGATCACTGTGAAAATAAACAATACGAAGATTATCTCCTTTGAATTCCAGGATTCCTTTACTGTCTTGGAAATGAAGAATTGTATCTTAAATGAGTATCTCACTGCTACATTTTTAATATTTTAAATACAGAGGATGAAACATTATGGAAGAGTCATTTCAACATCTGGGGAAAAAGCAATCAAAGAATGAGAAGTATAGTTATGAAAATATAAAATATTCTTTTTCTTTATGTTCTGCTTCTTTTGAGCAAGCTTGGGAGCATTTCTCATTTCTAAAACTATTGAATATGAAACTCACGGAATTGAAAAACCGAGGCTCTGTGAAAACTGGTTGGAACGATGACGGTAAAGATATTTAAAGAAGGAAAATACCTGACTGGCAACTTAGCCCAGCAGGCAAAGCTCTTGCTGCCAATCCTGACAAGCTGAATTTGATGTCTGGAATCCACGAGGTGGAAGGAGGTAACCAACTCCTCCAGATCGTCTTCTGAGCTTCACCTGTATGGTGTGTCGTGCAATGTACTCTCAAATAAGCCCATGCAATTCAAAACTGAAAAGAATAACAAGGCCTCTGAGATGTACTAACTAAACAGTTATCTATAGTTATATCTATATATGTAGTTACAGATACTGATTGTATCTTATAAGAACAATAAAAGTGTTATGAACATTCTTTGGGTAAGATGTTTCTCCACAATCAAAACATCTTGACAACATCTTATGCATGATGGCTCAGAAACAGCAGTACCCTAACTGTACAAGGAGGAATCTTGTTAGGTAAAACTATGGATGACTGTCAAGTTAAGATATTAAAATAAGTACATGATAAAAAAAGGCTTCTCTAACTTTTAATATAAATTAAATGGGGCCAGAGAAATGTCTCAGCAGTAGGGAGCAAGTATGCTGTTCTGGACACCTGATTTTTGCCCCCATATCAGGCAGTTCAAACTCATTTGTAACACCTCCAGCCTCTACATCCATTATGCTGCTGGTGTCTTAATGTGACCCCAATCATGGGGAATGTGAGACAGACCTAGCCAAGCCTACTTGAGGCAACCCATTAGCAGTCAAATCCACTAATGTTTCATGGGTGAATCTGCTGGTGCAGACAGTACAGAACTCTTGAAAGTTCCATTGGTATCTATCTTCTAATATTTCATAATGAGGATCAGATTTAAACAAAGTCATAATCAAACCATAGCCATGTTCTACCTTCTGCCCAGTCATTTACTGGAAGTAAACAGATAAATGCTTAAAAAACAAAGTATTTTCTCTGCCTATTCTCTTTACTATCTCTATCCAAATATCGAGTGCAATATACTTAATAATGTAATGATATCCTAAATACATTGTCAAATCCTACACCTACTGCCTGTAGCCATCACCATTTCTTACTTCAGCCCATTCTATAGTTTATATCATGCTCCTTTCTTAGGACAATCAATCTTTTTAATGAAATGTGTTCTTTAAAAAAAAAGATGACTTTCCACAAAATCCGAGGTCAGTAAATTGTTTCATGATTGAGTCATGGCCTTACTGTGATTTTAAGTATTCAATGATTTCATGAAACTTTCTCCTGTTTGTATCCTAGCTGTCTACCCTGGTATGTAGTGGATGTTTAATGAGTTGGGTGGTTGAAAAAAAATGAATGAATTAAGTCTTCAAAAGCTAAGCAAATGTATGGGGATAATTATGACTATTCAGCTTGCATTTCAGTGTGGCTTAGGTTTTGTTCATTTCAGAGGTACATCAAAACATATTTATACAGGCTTCTAGAAGCATTCAAATATACTGAATGAGTGAATATCTAACTATCTATCTATTTATTTATTCATTTAGCAGTATAAAAAAGAGGTAGGAATTCTTTATAAAAATAAGTTCAGCTATTCCACATCTTTCAAATTCTAGTTCTGAACACAAACCACCTACCCTAGTCACTACCATAAACAGAGAAAGTGAATGGCTTCTAGCTCCATTAGTATCCTTTCTGCACCCTAAACACTTAGTGAAGAATGTGCTGTACTCTCAAAAGCTGTTACAGCCTCTTGAAGGAAAGCTCCCAATCTTCCTCACTCAAAACTATTTTATCAACATGCAGGCAACACATTAAGTCTTGATTGACACTTTCAATCTGTTAGCATCTCCCTAGCAGCAAAGACATCCGCATAATCTCTCTTCCCATCCTGGAGGTACAGACGGGAATAAAGACCTTTTGCTTAGTGTGTAACACGTTATTTCTCTTTCATTACCTTAAACCTCATCTGCATCTGTGCTTTACTTAGACCACAGTCATGTGGTTGCTTGCATCTAACTAGGAAGTATTGGTCTTAGTACTTCCAAGAAAATACAAAGTAAATATAGGATAATTAAGTAACTGCTTAAAGATTTAGGAATATGACAAGTCTGTCTTGAATTCATAATCTACCTGGGTATTAAGAAACTGTAAACTCTGACAAGATGGCTCAGTAGGGAAGGATGCTACAGCCAAGCTGGGAGACCTGGGGTGGTCCCCTGGGACAGGAATAGTGGAAGCAGAGAATTAACACTCACTTGTGGTCTTCTCACCTTCACACACACACACACACACACACACACACACACACACACACGGAATAAAATGAATCTTTAATTAAAAAGGCAAACCCACTGAAGGCTATCAGTCATTCTATCTATTCCAAACACAGTGAAGAAAGAAAGCGCACTGTACTCTAAGAGGACCCAAAGAGAGTGTCAGAAGTCCTGAAGCCAGACTTGCAGATGCTTCTGAGTCATTGGATATAGTTGCTGGAAAGCAAACTGGTCCTCTGCAAGAGCAGCAAGTACCCTTAACTGCTGAGTCATTTTCCCAGCCCTATTCTCTGGGCTCTTAAAAAAAAAGAAAATAAAAAAAAAATTAGTCCTTGGGAAGGGGAGTAAGGGAGGGGGAGCAGGCACCTGTGTGGCAATCAGGAGACAGCCTCGCACTCTGGTCCTCACCTTCCACCTTATTTGAAGCAGGGTCTCCCTTGTCATTTTCTGCTTAGTGCACCTCGGCAGCCGGTCCATGAGCTTCCAGGGATTCTCCTGTCTTTGCCTACCCTTTTGCCCCAAGATGCACAGGACCTTTTACTATTGTGCTGTGCCCTTCTTGGGTTCTAGTTGTTTCCCAGCCCTCACTGAGTTATTACTTTGTCCCAGGCAGGGCATGTTGCCTGCAAGTCCGTTGTAATTCTCACAGTAGTTTTGGAAACTGAAAGCTATTATTGCCCTGATTCACCTGATGAGGAAACCTAGGTCATACAGCCAATCAGCGGAGGGCAGGTGTGTGCGACTCTGGAGCCTGCTTTCTGTACCCTAAATCCCCACTGTCTCCTTTTTAGTAAGTAAAGTCCTTGAGACTTCTAAACTGCCATGCTCCTGGGAAAATTAATGTTAATTTCCTGACAATGAGATTAACAGACCTATGGAGCCAAAGTCTACTAAGCCTTGAGTCTTTCTCCAGCAGGAACTCACGAATATTTTATCCCTCTTAATCCTTGCTAAATTTATTATGCACATTTGAAAGTAGATGAGGGTACATAATAACTAATTAAATAGGTCAGAAAAGAATTCCAGACTCATTATAAGTGATGCTTAGAAATGACGTCACCAATTCACATTGCCAGTCACTGATAAACCCAGATTAAAATACTTATAATTATGCTGCAGTGTTTGAAGATTACTAATGGACAGGGAAGTCTGACTTTAAAAAAGACACACAGGGCTAAGCCATTGTCTTGGGTGCTCTGTTTCACAGCTGGAGAAGCCATTTATAACAGCAAGGGCGACTCCTCTTAGAATGGCTCCAATCATTCATTTCATTTCTGCTTTATTTAACACTAATATTAACGTTCCTATTTGTTTAATATGTATGGGTCCTTGAATAGAGAACTGTTTGGAACCGCCAAAAATCCAAATCCATGACTGAGAAGACCTTGCTCCTTTTCAGAGGTTGTGTCCTGGAGTTCCCACTGACCCTGACCACTTAGGACAGACTGCAGAGCTAATAAGAACAGCTTTTCTAGCCTTACAAATCCTGCTTCTACCATTTACAGAACTAAGACATTAAGGAAAGGACATCTGGACATAGAATTTAAGATTTTTTTTAAAAAAATGTGTGTCTGTGTGAGTGTGTGTGTGTCTGTGTGTGTGTCTTCAATGTAAGTATGGGTACCACAGACGTGATGCTCCTGGGAGCAAGAGTTGCAGGTAGTTTTGAGCTTCCTGATGTGGATGCTAAACAATTTGGCCCTCTGCAAGAGCAATATACACTTTTAACCTTTAAATCATCTCTTTAATCCAAGACATGGTTTATTAAATTTGACAATGATGCTGTTAGCCTCTTATAGATGTCTTATTATATATACATCTTTGATTAGTTAATAGGTCAAGTGTCTACATTTGAATGTCTCTAGTGATAGAAATGGACTCTTTCTTCGTGCTTATACTTTGAAATTTTCATGTTTAAGATGCATGCTAATATCAATTAATATTTGAATTATTTTAGAGAATCTAAATGCCTCTGAATTGGAAACATTTATCTATTTTAAATTCAAATTTCTCACATTATTTTTTTAATTTAAATCAAGTCACTCTTTAAGTTATTTGAAAATTGACATATTTGGAAGCAAAGGAGATGATTGAGAATGAAATATTCTTGCAGAAGACCCAAAGTTCAGTTTCCAGAACTCATATTGGAAGCTCACAACCTTCCAAACTCCAGCCTCAAGGCTCTAAGGTCTGATTTTTGTCTCCATCATCACCTGCACTTATATGCACATGTACACACACAGATACACATATCTACACATAATTAAAATAAAATAAATCTTTAAATAAGATGGACATATTTAAAGTGGGACCTGTGTCAAGGAATATTTAATGATTTTTATCCATAATATATCACTCGGTTTGGGGTTAATACATTGCCTGATCATTTTTTCCTGAATTATAATTTTCTGATGTTTATTAATACTTCTAATTATTT